ATGTGTTTCCCTGTGTCCCTGTCTATAAATACCTGTGCCCTCTCTCATGATTGGCTGGTCCATTGTTTATGTCAAGGTCTGTTTCGTCATGTCAAGTCTGTCTTTGTTCTGGTTCTGTTATTCTTGGGATTTGAGTTTAGTTTTACTGGACTTTTATTTTATTAAATCATTATTTTTTGCATTCCTGCATTTGAGTCCTCTATACATCCCACCAGTGGCATCCTGCCTCCTCGTGCCGGTACGGGTGTGGCCCGTTGTGTTGTCCCTGTCTTTGGCGTCCTGGAGTGTGGGTAAGTATGCGGTCGATTTTTTTCCCCTCGCATTGTATGCAGGCTCAGTCTCGCCCCGCGCTTTGTACTGCAGGCTCCGTTGGCCCCGTGCATTGGTGGGCAAGCTTTCAGTTTAAAGCCCTCGCATTGGTCCTGCAGGCTCTCTAAACCAAGTCCGTTTAAATCATTCACTCTTGATGCAAGCTCGTTATCATCACATTGGACTGCAAGAACTCAGTTTAATCCCTCAATAGGACTGCGTTTGCTCTCAGTTTTAATCCTCCTTTGCATTGCAGGCTCTCTTTAATCCCTCTCTGGATACGAGTTAGTTTAATCCGCTCTTTGGGACTGCAAGCCCGTTTAAATCCCTCTTGGCCTGCGGACTCCCAATTGAATCCTCACATTGGACCTGCGCGCTCCCAGGTTAATCCCGCACGGAAATGCTTTATTCTGGAACTGCTTATTATCTGGAGTGTTATACCGTACTGGAACTGCTTCATGCGGAACTGCTTATTATATGGAACGCTATATATGGGAACTGCTAATATTGTCATGGGTGGGAATGATGGAGGGCTCAAATGCAGGATGCAAGAAAATAATGATTTAATAAAATAAAAGTCCAGGTGAAAAAACTAAACTCAAAATCCTAAGAATACAGAACCAGGAACAAAGACAGAACTTGACATGACGAAACAGGACATTGACATAACAATGGACCAGCAACATGTGGAGAGGGGCACAGGGTAATTATAGACAGGGACACAGGTGAAACACTTCAGGGCGGGGGCAGACATCAAGACAGGGGAAACAGCACAGAAGTCAAACTCAAAACCAAACCACAGAGAAAAAAAATGTCAAATAAAACCAATGTACAAAATAACAAAATCCACACCGTGGACAGTACCCCCCCTCCTAGGGACAGCTCCCAGATGTCCCAGGAAAATAAACCCGAGATGGGAGGGTGGAGGGGGCTGTCCAGAGGTAGGAACAACCAAGACCAGAGGCAATGTTCGTGGACAGAATCGAGGGGCGGGAACTAGAACCAGTGATGACTTTCCACACAAGTCTGGCTCACCCCGAACGAAGACGAATGTCCTCGGCGGTGACGCGCAACAGGATCAGAACACCCCTGACGAGTCCTTGTCTGGCGGTGCAACGGGTGAGGGAAAGAGAGGTCATTCATTAGGGAGATAGGCAGCCAAATCTGGGTAGAAAATCCAGACAGACAGCACCATCAGGCCAGAGAGTCACTGTAGACCTCTCAACATGTCAGGGCGGGGGGACGAAGACAACCCCGGACAGAAGACACCGGACGGAGAGATACCCGGCGGTGGTTCCAAAGGGACAAGACACCCATGGACCGAGGTTGATGTCTGGCGGTGGTTAAGAAACAGGTTGAGAGGTCAGCGGTGCTGAGGCGAAATAAAAATAAAACCAGATGAATGGGATGACGAACTGGGCGCAGTGTGGATAAAAGGGGCTTCCGCTGAGTCCTTTTGTCGCTGGTCATTCTGTCATGGGGTGGATGATGAGGACTCAAATGCAGGAATGCAAAAAATAATGGATTTTAATAAAATAAAAGTCAGGTGGAAAACTAAAACTCAAAATCCAAGAATACAGAACTGCAGGAACAAAGACAGAAACTGACATGACGAAACAGGCATTTGGACATAACACTGGACCAGCAACATGTGGAAGGGGCACAGTGTAATGATAGACAGGGGACCAGGTGAAAACACATCAGGCGGGGCAGACAATCAAGAACAGGGGAAACATGCACTGAAGTCAATACTCAAACCAAACCACAGAGAAAAAAGTCAAAAATAAAACCAAAGTACAAACTAACCTCATAATCCCCACCGTGACATATATATGGAAGGCTTATATACGGAACTGCTTATATATGGAACTGCTCATATTGGAAACTGCCATATATTTGGTACTGCTTATATCTGGAACGCTTATGTATAAAAATAAATTGTTAAAATATAAATAAAAATATACAATAAATATAAAATATAGATAAATATTAAAAAAATAAAATATAATTATAATAATTAATAATAATAAAAAACTTGCAGGCTCTGTTGGATCCCTCACTCTGGACTGTAAGCTTCAGTTTAAACTCCTCACTTGGACTGCGGGCTCTGTTAATCCTCATTGGACGTAAAACCTGTTTAAAATCCCTCAAACTGGACTGCAGCTATCGGTTTAATCCCTCACTTGGACTACAAAGCTCTCTGTTATAAATCCTCTTTAGGGACTGCGGGCAATATTGAATCCCTCTCTCTGGACGACAAGCTCCAGTGAATCCTCACTCGGACGTACAGGTCGTCTTAACTCCTCACACGGACTGCAGGCTTCAGTTAAACGCCTCACTTGGACTGCGGGCTCAGTTTTAATACCTCTCTTTGGTCTGCATAGCTCTATTTAAATCCATCACATTAGACTGCAAGCTTGTTTAGGTCCCTCGGCGGCTCGTGTCCGCAACCTCTTCACGGATCTCCGTGAGCCCCAAGTCGGACGCAGGGCTCGGGCGCGCGGAGGTGTCCGTGGGTACGTTATTGGCCCCTTCTCTCCGTCCCGCTCTAACCCGATGGGCATCGCCACCGCAAGCACTCCAGGAAGAAAGCGTTGATACTCGTCTCTCCTGTCCGGCTCCCTCTGTCCATTGCATCTCCCCGATGATTCCCTCGTAGTCAACCCACCCTCAGACTGCTCCGGGGGATCTCTCCGCAAGCTCTGGCCCCCTTCTCTGCCCTCGGATTCTCCACTCGGATAGACCACAGGCCCCGCCAACGCTCTGGAGTTTCTCGGCATCCGCCCGTCACGCGCGCCATGGAGGCCTCCTCCCGTGGACCAAGCTCGAACAGCATCGCGCTTTCTCCCGGTCTGCTTGGCCTTCAGCCCGTCACCTGGAGGCGTCCTGCCTCTCCGCTCCTCGGGCATCTTAATTATGGCGTTCGTATCATTCCCCAAGGTCGTTCTTTTAATTACAGACTCTATCCCTCGCCGGCTCCGTTCTCCTCAATGACGCTGTCTGCCCACACGCGGGGCGCCGCTCCGACCTGGCGTTCCGGTCGTTCTGCAGGCCGCTGGGATGGTGTATCTCTTTTTTTTTTACAGTGCGTCATCTGTCTCAGGATGCCACGCGGGTTCTTCACGGACGCAGCCCGTCCGTGGGGTTTTGGGGGTTTTTCCAGGACCAGCTGGTTCGCCGGGCCCGGGCGAGCTTTCCCTCGAAGTCATCTCCTCCGCGCTCACGAGATTATCCGTAACCGTAGCCTGCGTGCTGCGGAACCATACGTGGCATAGGAAAAGGGATTTCCGTGATGTGCGACTACCTCGACGTCATGAATTAATAAATCAAAGGTCGTTCAGCCTCTCCCAAATCAATCTCCCTTAGACGCATCACACGGCTATCAGTCCGAACAATTTTCATCACTGCTCGTTCACGTCCCTAGTCACCTAACTGTTTGCTGACTTCTCTCTCTCGCTTTAAATTCCAGGAGTCTGACGCCTCTCGCCCTTCTGCCAATCCATCGCCATGCCAGATCCCCTGCACGGAAATCCCTCGCTCCGGCCTTAGTCCTCCGTCTCTTGCACCTTGCTCCTCCGCTGCATCCGACATGAAATGGGCTCTTAGCATAAGCGAATTCACTAACCCCCACACCACCTTCAATGCAGCCAAGGCATTGCCTGCTCCGACCTGTGGCTTTACTATCCCGACTACTTTCAACTCCACTCATGCATTCCAAACGCCAAAGGCGCTCGTAAGTATGTTTATAGCTCGGTCTGACACTTCTACCGGTCCCTAGCCAGATCCATGACGCGATTACACTCGCCTCTCGCTCTCGGAAGGAGATCTCAACGGACGTTATTTCTTACCCCGATAACCTCCCGATTGTCTCAACTGGTTCAGGGCCAACTCAAGTCGTACTGCTGCTTTGTTACCTGTCTCCCCATCTATACACAGCCCACTCCTCTCGGATAGGCGCCGCCACGCGCGCCGCGTCCCTGGGGGCTCCCCATTGCCGCCCTCCAGCAGCTGGGCACGTGGCATCATCGGCCCTCTCCTTCATACATCAGGCCTGACACTTCGACCATTCTGGAGCCCAGCGCCTCTTTGCATCTCCATAAAACACTTGCATAACTTCTGGCTGACCACGCAGCAAGCTGAGTATCCGCAAGTTTTGTACAGTATATAGCGGTCACAGTATATAGTGATTAGCGGTCACAGTTTATAGCGATAGCCGGTCACAGTATATAGCGATGCGGTCAAGTATATAGCGATAGCGGTCACAGCATAGAGCAGTCTCGACGTCGTCCCTCAAACCTTGGCTGCAAAACTCCATCAAACTCACAGCCTTTTTCGGGATTGGCGCGCTCCATCACAGGAGCCTCTCCGTTCTGAGGCCGCACCGGGGCCTAGGGCGACAAACCTCCAATAAAATAATCAAAAGCTTCTTGTTTTATCGTTTCAATTGAAATGCAGCCCGCGGTAATTCCAATTTGGTTAGACGTCAGCCCAAAGTTACCCCTCCAGGCCGGTTCAATCCCCGGCCTATCGCACTGCAAACGCCCCTTCCAATCACCGCACGGCCAGGCGCGCTTAAAAGCGGAGAAAACCTCCCACTCTCGGCCTTCTCGAAGCCGTGGCAGCCACCGCCTCCCTCTCCTCCTCTTCACCCTGCCTCCATCTGCCTTCAAATCTGCCTTCCCGACTGCCAAATGCCGCCACAGTGCCTAGGTCCCGGGGGATTGGGGCGCTCCATCGCAGGAGCCTCTCCGATCTGCGGCCGCACCGGGCCTAGGGCGCCAACACCTCAATCCCAATAAAATACTCAAAAGCTTCTTGTTTTATCGTCTATCAAATTGGAATTCAGTTCAATTACATTATAATTTGTATATAGCCTTAAATCACAGCAGCAGTTGTCGCAAAAGACTTTACAAACAGGAAAATGCAATTTATAATAAATAACACATCGGGCAATAGGGAGCAGGACTACAAATGCACATAGGATGTTAAAATTGTCCATAGAGGTCTCTAAATGCTCCCAGATAAGCACTGTACTTGCTCAGCAAGGATCCACTCAAAAAGGTTGGGGAAAAAGGATGATGAGAAACTCAGGGAGAGAGATCCTCTCCATGGTCTGACAGCTGTAGAACCAGGAGTCATGTTGGGGAACAGGACTGCGGCTGTGCGGTGCAGGGAGAGGCTCCCAGGTGGGGAGATGAGCTGCAGCCCTCAAAGTCAACAGGTGCAGGTCAAAGGACGGTTAGCAAGGGTAAGCGTGATTGTAGATTTTTCCACAATTGGGGGTTTTTGAACTGAGATGTTTTTTTTCTGGAACCTAGGTAGGCTGAGCCACTTTGTAGTTCCAATTATATTAAAATACTTTTCTCTGGTTTTAAAACAAGATTACTGTTATTTGGCCTTCATTACACATGACCAGGTTGAGTTTGTGTTTGCCTTAATTACTTCAAGCTGTAGTTATAGAGACATCTTTCCTTCATTCTTTGAAAGGCACATACACAGTCGTTTTTTTCTGAGTTTCTGTACCAGAGCTACGGTCAGCCTTAAGGGACCTACACAAAAGCTGATCTGGAAATCTGTTTGTAATCCAACATAAAGATGTTGACCTGGAGGCCTTGATTCGTAGCACAAAGCAACAAATCGCTGTGTTATCACTGTTACACTAAATAACTGGTCTGATTCTGGATTGAGGGACATAGGACTACAGTTAAGGTGTTCTTTCTTGTGTATTGGAAAGTTGTTCTTTGCATTTGACTCCATCTTCGATCCAGTAGGGATCGAACAGGCAGCAAGGAAAAACATTAGGGCTGCAATGTCAGGTGGACAAAGCCACTATGGTCCATAAGCGGAGTTCGGCAGCAACTACTTGTTTACTTGGTGTTAGCGATGCTCTATGTGGACAGACTCACACTCACTTGTCTTCAGGGCTCTTTGTTTGACTTTGGCCTTTTAACTATGTAGAATATGCATTTGCAAGACTTTTGAAACAACCACACATCTAGGTTGAGAAGGCAGTACAGCAGGAAGGACCAGGTCATCAAAATTATGACACAGCGGGGTGTCCAGGGTCCAGAAGGCAGGAGAAATATGACAGAGCTTGACTAGAAAAGCAAAACAGACATAGCCATAGACCCAAGACTTTGAAATAATAACTTCTGGAGCGGTTACAGTAACTGTCTGCCCCTCCTGAAGTTTAGGCTGACGGCTAACACACATGGTCAGGGCTCCTGGCACAATAAAAAACATAAAAATCCCCCATAACTGCTTTTTATAATGATACAGTGGGGTTGCACATGGGAATGCAAACATTTTCATGTGCTTTTTCATGGGGCCCGGGCCCCCGTGGGGCCGCACACCCCTTTAATAAAATACCCATTAAAACACCATTTAGTCCGACTGTAAAACAAAACTCAAGATTCAGATTCATTTAGTTGCCTATTTGCAGTAAAAACCACTTTGGAAAAATGTGAAGACTACCCCAGGTGCCACCAGACAGAGAAGACGGCACACACAGAGCTCTTGCCACTGAACAAGGACGAGAGCAATGTCTACATTTCCGTACAAACCAGGACTGCAAAAACTAGTAACGTAATCAACTTTCGACTGTTTTATTCGTCATTGATTTGTTATTGTTATCAGTTAAAAAGCATGGATTTGATACATAATCAGTCATGGATATACTCAGCACAAATTTGTGAGATTTCTGAATTCTTTTACCAATAAAACTAGGTGATCCAGGGTTAATGGAGAAGTAGCTCTTGTTGGGATTAAAGTGTGAGACCCCAGTTGTAGGTGTAAAATTCCAAAACAGACTTATGGTAGATGTACTGTATATACTTTGTCACTGATTAGGAGTACTTACCATTTTATCATACAGTACTGTTTGTTGGGTGTTTTTACACAAGATTTATCACAAAATGGTCAACTACTTAAGATAACTGTTGAGTGACAGCGGTATTTAACGCCCTAATTTGTGAATAAGCGATTAATAAATATGTACGTGGTATGCTTGTTATGCATCACGAATTGAATCATAATGTCTAGTTGCAGTCGAGTAGTCCAAATCCAAATTGTTTAGAAGACTCTTCTCTGTCAGAGCACACTTCACTGTGTGGATATGGATATTGACCATAATATTGCATGGTTCAGATGTGTTTGATTGGTTTTATATGACAGCTGGCACAAAGAACAAACTGTGGTGCATATGGTTTGTGCTTTTGGCTTGCAGACAGATCAACACATCCTCAGAGCAGAGGGGAATCCAGTATCAAAGTGCTGATGGAAGACGCTTTGCGCAAGGGGAAAAGCTTGGGAGCTCCCCATGTTAAAGCTTTAAATTTATCAATACATTAGTCTTGCCGTACAGTAGTGGCTGTTGTGTGGTGTTGGAAATCACAACAGTCATGAATGTTGAACACACACACGAGTATAATTGGAAGTCATGCTACTTATTCACAGACTGCATGCAAGATGCCATTCGAGACAAAAATTCCATCCAACTGAGGATTATTTACAACACAAGAGTTTTTAACATGAAACTGAAGACGGAAGGTTGTTACCGCCCAATATGTCTCACGTTTATGTGTTTGGCATTTTTGGGTACAATGATAATATGTAACAATCAATTCTCTAACTTCCATCATACTTGCTTGTGCCAGAAAAGCATAAGCAAGTCAGTTCACAAAGCTTGCCGTTTCCACTGAAGGTAGTTGCATAATGATTCTTATTAGCAATCTAAAAATAGGCGGCTAGTTTGAGGGTCTATGCGGGTTCTTAATTGACAAGCACAGAGGGTGCGTCTATGACCAGCAGCTGCAGAGCCTCAATGAAAAACACAAAGGATAACTCACAATATGCAATAAATCTCCAGTGGAATAACTAAACTCACATATAAAAAACTGCTCCATCAAAGAAGTATAGCAAGCACAGTTAGTTCTTCAATGAGATTAGTTCAAGCTTCCCAGATGTTTTTTATTTCCCTCGTGACAATGTTATACTTGGGTGTTAATTCTTTAACATTAGGAATGGAAGTATGCTGCACGTTTCACTTGTCTTCAGGTGTACAAAGTAGCTCATTTTAATGTAAAAAGAAAAAAAGAAAACATTTTTATTGTACAGCAGGTGCTGGGTACTGTCCTGGTACTGTCCATGGTCCAGAACTACACATATTATCATTATGGGGTTGTTATCAAAAAGTAGGTGTGATCCCAAAATAAGATATGCAATCTAAGCATTAAATTACACCATTTAAATAATGTTACTTTTTAATTGAATTTTTATGGTATATTTTGGAGCCTAGTTTAAAAGCCCTCTTCATTATGGTTTGGGAATAGTTTTGACCTGCTCGTTAGCATATTGGCAAATAGGGTCATTTGCCGGACAGCGCCAATGTGCTTAGGCTTACAACTTGAGACAGAAAATACCCAATCCACCCAAATAATCATGTTGGGTGGATGGGATTATTTTCCTGTTCTCAAGTTGTAAGCCTCTAAGCAGCATTGGCGCTGTCCGGCACATGACCCTGTTGCCCAATATTTGCGAACTGCAGGGTTTCAAAAACTCTTCCAAACCATAGATGAAGAGGCATTTTAACTAGGCTCAGGCTCCAAATTAGTACCATAAAATTCAATTTAAAAAGTAACATTAATTGAATGTTCGTTAATTAAATGCTTAGATTGCATATTTTATTTTGGCTAGATGCACAGCTACGTTTTTGATAACAAACACTTATGATTATTGGTAGTTCAGGACTTGGACAGTACCATGGACAGTCCCATGCACTGCTGTAAATTAAAAATTGTTTCTTTTTTCTTTTTACATTAAAATGTGCTACTTTGTACCCATGAAGTCAAGTGAAACGTGCTAGCATACTTCCATTCCTATGTTTATGAATTACACCCATGTTATATCATTGTTCGAGGGAATAAAAAACAATCTGGGTAGCTCTTGGAACGTAATCTCAGATTGAAGAACTAACTGTGCTTGCTTACATTCTTTGATGGAGCAGGTTTTTTATATGTGGTTTATTCCACTGGTTAGATTTATTTGATAGTGTGAGGTCTTGTGTTTTTCATTGTGGCTCTGGCAGCTGCTGGTCATGACGCTCCCTCTGTGCTTGTCAGGATTAGAACCGCATAGACCCTCAAACTAGCCGGCTGTTTTTAGACTAAAAAGCATATGTGAATTTGACTGACCCTGATTTGAACTCTGTCTCTTTCCTAAGCAAAAAGACCTGTCTCCCGGGGGGGGGGGGGGGGGGGGGGGGTGGGGGGGGGGGGGGGGGGGGGGGGGGGGGGGGGGGGGGGGGGGGTTGGGGGGGGGGGGGGGGGGGGGGGGGGGGGGGGAGGGGGGGGGGGGGGGGGGGGGGGGGGGGGGGGGGGGGGGGGGGGGGGGGGGGGGTGGGGGGGGGGGGGGGGGGGGGGGGGGGGGGGGGGGGGGGGGGGGGGGGGGGGGGGGGGGGGGGGGGGGGGGGGGGGACAGATCTGATTCTGCTAATCCTTTCCTTGTTTGGAGAAGGAGATGGACCCAGAATCTGGAGGGACAGCCTTGGGAGTCTCCTGTCTTATCTCAAGGAAGTAATATTTCTATAGAATTAGGGAGGGGTAGTGTGTGAATGATTTCTGTTTAGGTCTGGCGAGACAGAGGAGGCCACATGGTGCGGAGGCGGATCTCAGACCGGAAGCTGCCTGATACGACACGCCCCCTTCTTCCTGGACCTCTCCTGATATGCTCTGGCTTGAGCAGGGGGCTGAGAGTCAGCACAGGGCCAGAGAGGGACATGGATTAGTTTTAGGAGCTCTCTTTGTTGGAATTTCTGTATCTGATTGTAAGGAAATTAAATACAGATGTTAAACTTGGAGATCTTTTGTCATACTTCTGCATCAACTCGAACACGTCAGTCAAAGGGAATTTTTGACAATATTTGGTGAATCCCGACGTGATGGTGCAGGAGCAAGACAGAGATGAGCTCAGATATACAGTAGAGACTGGATTTGTGGGCCTGGAAAAAATCTCTCTGCTCTTCAAAAAAGTCGCTTCTAAAGAGGTAAGCAGATCATAGTTTTGAAAATCTGCACATTGTTTTAAATAGAAGAGAGAGAGATTTTGGCTCGACAGATTGCAGCGTGGACAGACCGCCGTGACGGGCGTTCTATCGGACGCGATAGAACAATAGTCAGGTTTAGACGTTTTTAGCCTTGGGGGAAGAATGGGTCCCTCCTTAAATAAAACAGAACATAGATGATGATAAGGGAAGTCCACACCGTTTAGAGTGCAAAAGAGGCACACCGTTTAGAGTGCAAAAGAGGCACACCTTCTTAAAGTGCAGAGAGGCACACCAATAGTGAAAATAGGAATAGAATTAGAGAAATAGGGACAGCTTTAGGGTCAGAAGTTATAGGATAATAAAACCTCTATATCCCCCGGGGGGCGGGAAAAAGGGTACATTTAAACAGAAAAAAGCCAAGTATTTAAAATGTGGATTCTGATAATAATGATCTGATTAATGAGAAAAAAGAGAGCCACTTGGCTGTAAATACGAGTTTTCATGTGAAGAAATGACAAAAGATCAGTCTGGGAGTTTTTCTCTTGTATTGTGATGTAATGTTTCAATAGTTACAGAGGTATTACGAAAAAAAAAAAAAAAATCTTGCTGTGACTAGTGATACATTATTCATGTAAGCAAATTGTAATGTTTTCCATTACTGACGTATTTAAGGATAAAATGTAAAGTGTCGTTTGACGTGAGAAAAACTTTTACCACTGATTAAAACCTTGTCACGAGAAAAACGAGGGAAATGCTTGAAGCATACAGCACTCAGCCCCTCCCCTCCCTCTTTCTGTCTGCTTTCTTTCTCTCTCTCTCTCGCTCTCGTGAAGAAAGAACTATTACCAAATATATATATTTTTTGTAGAAAATTACATTTATACACTCGATAATGTTACTGACATGGAGTCATATGATCACAGAACTTTGAGTTAGATTATAAAGAGGCATTATTTTATTTTTATCTCCAAGGCGTCTGGACAAGTTTTTTCCCTACATTTAGGTGATATAAAAGTTAGAATGATCTTAAAGAACAGTATACTTTTGGAAAAATAGGGCTTAGGATAGCAGTTGAATGCAGATTTGGTTTTCAGAATTTAATGTTTAAAATGTTAATATTAATTATTTCATAGGTTTATTTTGATTTGTAATTAATCATTGGTTTTGTATGGTAATTAACACACTTGTTTGTGTTTCTTGTCTGTTTTTCCTGAGAAAACTTCTGTCTGTTTCATTGGCCAAAATCCTCCCCCGCCACAAGCCTCAACGGAGCGTCTACTAAAAGGGACCATCAGCGTCTCCCCCGTTTCACCCACAGGGGGCACCAAAGACAGCAGCATCGGCTGCAGCAGCTAACAGGAACTCTCGAAGAAGACTTCTCCTGCCTCCATTCCTGTGAGGAGGCAAAGAAAAGACCGCAGACTTTTCACAAACTGAGTGTTGACCCATCTACGGAACAGAAGGTGGCGGTAATGCGAAAAATAAGGCCGCCAACCGCCGGAAAACCTAACAATAAGAAGAAGGACACGACACATTTGTGTGCGTCGCATCTGAGAAAGAAAGTTATTGAAAGGAGAAGAAAAAGTTTGAAAGGAGAAGAAAGTGATTGAAAAGAAGAAGAAAGACATTATGAGAAAAAGTTATCGGAAGAAGAAAGAAAGTGATTGATTGAAAGAAGAAGAAAAAAGACATTGAGACAAAGACATTGGACACTATGAGACAAAGACAATTGAAAGACGCCATAAGAGGAGGACTGGAGGGCTAAATGAAACAGACAGAAGGTAATATACAGACAGGCAACAAACGCACCAAGACATTAAGGACATTTAGGTCATATTTACACATTTAGGTCATACGTTCAAAACACTACATTTAACTGCATGAATGATTACAAGAATGAGACACAAGAAGATTAGAATTGTAGTATAGCTGTGCATGATTTAGATGAGTTTTATTATTAAAACTATTATTGTTATTTAAAGTTATAGACGCGGAGACGTTTAGAATTATTGATTTTGACTGCATGATCTTGGTAATACGGATATTGAACGCAATTTTCTTCAACCTCTGAACCGTGGCTCGTTTCTCATTTAAAACAATCACATGCACAGTTGAAACTGGTGCTGGAAAGAGAACTGCAGCTTTTAATGGACGTTGCATTTAATACAAAAGTGGTTTGTTCAGACAATCAAAAAAAAAAAAAAAAAAAAGTCTGAAAAATAATAGAGTATTTCTAAATCTTGGCTAAAGGTGATATTAGACCATCTTTGATGGCACACTAACGCACCACGGTCAATTGGTTGAAAACACGGATGTAGGGACATTTTATGAAATCTTTTATGACATGTTTCTCTTCCAAATAGCTGAATTAGAAACAATTAGGACAATTATGTCTTTGATACAACTGTTGGCAGTTTATCTGAGACATGATTGGTGCAAGTACGTTAGTACACGTAGAATAATTGTCTTTTCTCCACATGAACGTGAAACAAAGGTGAAGTATTAAAGTTTGAAACTAATTTACATTTTTAATGAATCCGAACTGGCTTTAAAAAAACAAAAAAGGGGAAAAACATTTATTGCACGTGCACAAGTTTTTTTTCAATGTCACAACAAGAGCTCATTAAACTATTGGGGACACAATCTGTGATAAGCCCGAGCAAAGACCACGTGGTTTAAAACACTAAAGTTGGAAATGGATCCTTTTAAGAAAAATCTCTTAAAGCTCTGCATGTTCTGCAGGCTCTGAAAGTTGCAACAATAAAATAACTCAAGAGACAATTGTAATTGGACATGGAAAAATATAACAAAGTTAAAATTACAGGCCTCCTGTGTTGTCTATATGTTTGTGTGTGTTATATGTTTGTGTGTGTTATATGTTTGTGTATGTTATATGTTTGTGTGTGTTATATGTTTGTGTATGTTATATGTTTGTGCATCATGTCAAGTACACTACGTTGACCTTAACAAAACTCTGGACCAATATACTAACGTGGGGAGTCGGCCTGTGTGAGTGTGATGTGAGTGTGTTGTGAGTGTGGTGTGAGTGTGATGTGAAATGAGGAGTGCTGAACGGAGAATGGAATAACAAATGTTTTCTGTAATGTTTTAATGTGATCATGGAATAATTATTTTTTGTCAACAGCATACGGTGTAAGTACTAGAGATTCAAAGATAACAAGCTTTATTGAACAGGTGTAAAAGTGAGAGTACACTGGGATGAGTACTCTGAGAAAGTACTCTGCGGAAAGTACTCTGAGATGAATACCTTGCTGAAGGTACTGGGAGTCCCTCCCTCTGCTGTTTGTCCTGACAGTGATTCGGTCCAACCGCAGTGAGCGGTCATTGGGCGGAGGACAACTTTGGTTTGTAACTCACATTTAGGGGAGTATAAAATTAGAAACATACATATTGTTAAGTCTGTATTTGGCTACAGCCCCTGCCCTGATGTCACACACCGTCTGTCAATGTCGTTATGTTTTGCCCAATTGGAAAAAGATTGACAGGCTGCACCATGCCAGGGAAGTGGGCATTTCTTGTGTTCTAATGTTTCTTTTTCAGATGAAAGTAAACTGCACCTGCTTCAGGGATGACAGTAGTATGGATCATAAAGGAAATGAGCCTCTACGTTGGCACCAAAGCCCACAATACGAATTGAGGACGATCCGGGAGGAACAACTGGAGATGATTGGAACCGTAATCTACACACACACACACACGCATGTTTTATACTTGGCCCACGACCAACAGAGGGGAGTATTGTAATGTTATTGTCATAGGTGGTCATGGTCCTTAACCTTCTAAATCATTAGAAAGAAGTGTAAAACATATATTTACAAGAACAAATAAATAATAGATAGGGCAGCCTAAAAGCAAAATGGAAAAATTATTAAATAATTTTCGGAGTTGCCAAAATAAAATAAAATTCTTTATTTGTCCCATAGGGGGTCATTCTAAATTTAGTGTGGTGCAAATTCGAAAGGAGAAATAATAGCGCTTATAACATCAAACAGATCTACCCTTTAAGATAATGGTAGAATAGAATAGAATGAAATAGTCTGGAGCTATAATGTCATTGGATTCGAGGAGCTATAGGTTAAAAGTGTCGCTAAGAAGAGGTGTCAGAATAAACAATAGTAATAATAGTTAGACTAGTGAATAATCAAAATAGTTCTATTGTGAAAATAAGTATCAATAAGGTCAAATTGTTCTAATAATTAGAGTAAAAAGGAATCAAATAGAGTCAGATTTTAGATGCTTCTGTTTTCCACATCTGTAGGAACTAGTGCAGATGTGTTTATAGAGAGTAGTATTAAAATGCAGACATAGAACGACAGGCTTTAACAAAATGTTTAATCTAAAAATAGCCCAAGTATAACATTGCTTTTGACGCAGCCTCTGAGCTGCTCCATTGGAGAACAGGTTAAATGTTATTGTTTAT